CTCCTCAAGACCTGAATTAACAACGGTCCAGAATTTTCTACAGCGCTGCTTTAAAGGCAAATATATTTCATACCAAATTAATATATATAGTGTGGATATATCAACAAAGTTGAAATGGTAAATTAGCCACCGTAATGATTACAAAAGCTGACGTTTCGAGCGTTAGCCCTTCGTCGCAGCGAATTTACCATTTCAACTTTGTTGATATATCCATATTATTTCGTTACTCCCACCGACGCAGCCCCAAACAGTTTCTTTTGAAACTATCAGCCTTAATTCATTAATATATATAGTGTATTGGAAGAGGTTGATCGCTCACTATTCAAGAAGATCTCCAGTATGCCCAGTCACCCTCTGTACCCTTCTGTCCTAAAACAAAAGAAAGCTCAGCGTGCCTCCGAGTTCCTAGTAGTCAACTCCCTAGGGTTAATACCCAGTGCTTTAAAAATAGTTTTTTTAATAGGCTCTTTTTCAAATATAGAGTAGCTATCTAATGTAATGTCTTATATTATGTAATGTTTACCTAGCCTTGTAATTATTTTTATGTACATTTTCTTGTTTTAGCATGTATTTTTGCTTAAAAATAATAAAGACCTATTATTATTACCATATAATTACAGAATAGCAAAATTTTGTCCAAAGCTAGAAACAGTGACATATGCTACTTTACCAACCTTATGAGCATAAGTTGGTTCTCCACAGCCACAAGTGTAAGAGCTTGTGAATTTTTTACATGCACATCCTTTTGAACACTTGTATGGTACCACCTCAGAATGATCATTAGCAAAGTGTTTACACTGGCATCTGATTGGCTGGGTGCCATTCTTTGGTACATAGTGGTAACTCTTACATTTACAGCCACTCACACGGCAGGGGACCGGGATCGGTCTGGTTTGTGGCAGTGTCTCATAATCAGTTTTGTGTTGTTTGTACCTTATTTTGGCAAAAAAGCAATCAAGGTTCTTGTTGAGTTTGACTCCTATATTTTGGAATAAAATACTACTTGATTAATGTTCCTTTTTTCTATCTCTGTATGTGACCCTCCGTGTGACCTTTAAATAAATGGCTGCACATAATGCTCAGATATATGTAACATTTTCTGACTGTATTCTGCTGCAAATAACATTCTGCTGATGAGCAGAAATGTCCATGCTCTTTTGTGTAAATTGTCAGATCACTTCCCTAAGCTGCCTGAGGAAAACTCCCATCCCCCCCCCCCACAAAAAGGCAAGTTTACCATATAACCCCAGATGCTATTATGCATACAGTTTTTTGATGAAAGAAAACAATGACATAAACTAGACCACCAATGAGGCTTAAGTTTACTTTTAGAAAAGTATGGATTATGCAGAAATCTGCCCCAAATAATAAGAAAAAAAGCTTCATTTATCAATTGATAAGACAATAATATTGCAATTTGCCATTGTCTCTCAGATCACTTTTTTGCCTCAGCCTTCCACTTCAGTGAGTAGGTAATTGATTTTCTCGTTGATGATAATCAACATTATTAAAAACTGGATCATTGGATAATGCAATTCAAGACTTTTTATTGGCTTAGCCATTATGGTACATGAGCCAATATACCATAATCTACAAATATGGTAAGCGTGTGCTTCGGGTTAAATTTAAAAGGGAGCTAAAAAATTTAAGATTTGGTAAGATTTGTCTAATATCTTGGGGGCGTTTTTAATAAAACAATTATTCCACTCGCACTTGTTGGATATGGGATGATTATAGCCAACTCAGTGCTATGCACCTCGTTGGCTATCTATCATCTCATATCCAACGCCCTCTCGTGGAATAATTGTTCAATATTTTGCACGAAGTCATCCAATAAATATGCATTATTAACCAAGCATGAAGTCAAGATGGCTAGATATTGGCTGAGTTCTTTTTTTGCAAGATGGGCCCATCTTGCCTTCTTGGGTAGCCAATCAGAACACACAAGGTGCTTTATCTTGCCCACCAGCACTGCGAGTGATGTAATAATGACAATTTTATTCGGAATTGCCTGCACCAATCTCGCATATGAATAAAATAGAATTTATTTAGAACTACATTCATAATTCTTGGACAATTTCGGCAATGGAAATCAACAAGCAGCAGAAGATTGTCAAAACAAAGAAACAGAAATGACATTCATGAGTTTGATGTGCTACAAACACAGTTGGCTTTCTTTCCCAGCTGTTGAAGTAAACAAGTCATTCTTAATAAAGCGAAATCTTTTTGCACTATGAAAGATTCCCATTTAACCCCACACCAATCAAAAACAAAGCCGTAGTCCCAAAGGAAATCTTTTGTTTTGCCTCTGCTTTCCTTTATCAAAGAATTGTATGCATAATGAAGTATGGGGTTATAGGGAAATCTTGTCTAAATCACTCCAACAAAGGGCTAACGCTCGAAACGTCAGCTTTTGTAAACGTTACAGTGGCCAATTTACCACTTCAACTTTGTTGATATATCCAAATTATTCCTTTATAGAACACTTTCATAAATGGCTGCTGGATTAATATTCTTTTGTTTTGATTTAAATTAGCCTTTCTGGCCTCGTTCTCTAGTACAAAATTCAAAAGAATACATTATCTCAAGTGAGGCCATAAGGGCTGATTTAAATTTAAACAAAAGAATATTAATCCGGCAGCCATTTATGAAAGTGGTCAATTAGCCAAGCTTGTTCGCTCAATAGCCTCGTTCTTTTTTCGCATTTTTATGAGCTTCGACTTCCTCTTGGTCCATAAAAATGCAAAAAAAAAAAAAAGAACTCAGCCAATATCCAGCCATCTTGACCTCACGCTTGGTTAATACCACATATGCAATTCTGTTATTTTGTGCCTAACCTGTGACTGCAAAAACACATTGTTTCAGGGCCGACCATCTTACAATCCATACCGTTGGGTGCCGTCCAACTAACATATAGCCTGTTTTTCATTCTCTGCGGCAGAACATTTTTCTTGTAATCTTCATATTCTTCAGGAGTAAAGAGTTTCCCTCCATCGTCGTTCCCAACAATTCTGAGAAAAAAAATAACAAGTCTTCCTGAAATAAGGCAAATATAGCATTAGTGTGTCTCTAAACAACTCTGTGCAGCTTGCAATTCCAATGCACCATCTATTGACATGCAAAACCATGGTTGTCAGGTTTATTTAGGTTTGGAAGCAGAAACTTCCTGCAAATAAACTTTTTATCAAGACCTGAACTATTAAAAAAATTACTCTTTTTACACGAGATCAATAATGAACTGCTGATACGTGCAAAATTATACACATAGAAGCTGGCCCTCATTTAAATTGCTATTTTTGACCGCATTTAAGTAACAAACCTTCGATATTCTAAGTATTGATCAATAGAGGCTGCAGCAGTGCTGTCGAGCTTTAGAAGTATTCGATCTCCAGCCATTTAGCCGCAAAAAAGGTCAAAATTCAGACAGAAACTCACGGCACATAGCTTGAATGGTGAAGGCTTCCCTCGTTTCCAAAACAACTGGAAGCATATTGTATAAGCCAAACGAGATGTCCTCAAAATTGGTTCCAGTCTTTTTCCACAAAAAATCGTTGCCAGGCAAGCGTGAATACGACGCAAAAACAAAATCTGCAAAATTCAAATTCCAAAGGATAACCCTATTTTCCGACGATATTCCTTCCAGATCAGCCAAATATAGCTTAACATTCATCGCTAGTATGGCTCGAAGGATTCCTTGGAGAAGAAATTGCCCCGATGTTGTTCTGAACAGAATCGAGGAAGCCAGCCAAGCTAGAATTTACCTTCTTCGGGAGACAGGTCCTACAGGATTTCTTTTGAAGGAAGATGGTTTGGATAAAAAATTTAAGGTTTGTTTGTGGTAAACAGCTGTTTCTGAACCATGATAACAAGTCTTGTAACCGCATGAAACGTCTCTTGCCTTTCACGAATGACACAAGGATACAGACAAGCCCTTAAAGTTTGTCGAATGTATGTTTCGATCGAGTGTAAAAGTACCAAAAGACGTTTCTACTTGGTATAAACTAGAGTAAAACTTACCTCTTTGGTTTTCCCCTAGCTTAAGCTTTTTTTTTCTGGAACGATGCAATTATTGTGTGATCAATTTTCGCGATAGTAAAACTAAAATGACTTGCAGCCTGATTTTGCAATTGCACTTTGTCTCCTATTTATTTTGTTTGAGTTTTGTTTGCCGAAGTTACAATATAAGAACTTCTATTACAATACTGATGTATTTGTATACTTTCTATCTTTTCAATTGTACCTGTAACAGTTCCCAGGCTCCTGAGTTTTAAGTCAGTTCACGCCTCAGGATATCCTGCTGTGAATGTTACCTAAAGAAAGCCACAATAATTATGGATGACTTTTCATACTTTATTGTCTTATTCCATGTTGATATGATTGTCAGGTGTTTTTGGGCGATCAACATTCTTGTACTTGTCAAACTTTTACAAAGGAAAAGGAACTATGTATTCATATCCTTTGGTAAGTTTAGTTTTCATCCCTTCACATTATAAAAGTCTGACTGTACATTCACAAATAATACACTTAAATATTAACTATTAACCGCCTCCCGGCTAGCTCAATGGATTGAGCACTGGACTATTGTGTGGGAGGTCGAGGGTTCGAGCCCCGGCCGGACCAACACTCAAGGTCTTAAAATAATTAAGAAGAATATGCTACCTTTCTATAACATCAAGAAATGATTAGATATTCTAGTCTTCTCGGATAGGGACGAATAAATNCCCCCGTTGATACCAGTGTTTACTACACTGAAGGGGCTATCCTGTATAAATATAGATGTCTAGTATCTCCTTTTCAAAGACTTCATTGGTACTCAGCAGTACTGTTTGAAAATATTAAATTATACATCACTTTTTTGTCTTTTTTTTCTTCTGCTTTGTTTTGTTTTCTTTTTTTTTTTAATGCAGGGTGCTTCTAAAGAAATTTCGAGTTCCAAAGGAAAATCAGAGTAAGTGCTCTTTTTCAACTATGCCCTGATAATTGTCCCATTTGCCATATAATACATTCAGAAGATATTGTTCTCTAAGCTTCACTTACAAATGTCAAAGAAGCTGTTGCTAGTACACCTTCTAAAAACTACAGACAACCAGTTAAAGTAGTCATGTGTGTGATGTTGTGTAAATCGGTGTGGCTCATATACCAGAGACATGCATAAATGTTACCCACATCGCCTTATGATAAATGTCTGTTTTGCATGAAATAAAATGAAATGACTTGCCAGTTGTAAATCAAATTATTTTAACTTTCTTTTTTTGGAGGGGATAGAGGGGAATCTCAAAACAAATGCCTTGAAAGGCGATCACTTATACCAGCTCATCTGTCCCTCTAATGGCCTATTCACTTGAATGTGGGTTGTGGGTTCTTGGATGCAAAACTTCACTCTCTCCGTGCCTCTCTCTTTCTCTCTCTCTCTCAACCCAGTAGTATAAATGGGTAGAAGCAAAGTTTCCCCCTCTAACTCCCAGAAGTGATTATTATGTAATTTCTCCCTAACCTATTCAATACAATATCCAACAAAAGGGGCATGACAATACTCAAACTTATCTGGTAGAAAATGTAATCTAGATTCAACACCAAATTCTCAAAACTAATTTACAAGGAAATGTGTAGCAGCTAGAGGGGAGAATTAACAATCAGATCTTGGGAATTAAAGGGTTTAAGAGAGGCTTTACAATATGCTGGAGAATGCCTGAAATGGACTAACATCTGATACAGAGAGCCCAGGAAGCAAGATTCCAGATGGGCCAGGAGGCTTATAGAATACCACTTATTTGTGATTGGTAAAGATGATGAATAAGAAAAAATGATCACTGTTTGAATCTTAGTTCTATTTCAACTATCACTGGTGGAACGGGAGATTAACGAGGTGATGAGAGGAGGCTGCTCCAGGTCAAACAGATCAAAGAAGAAGGATTCTGGTAAAGATATGGCAAATACTGTTGATAGGGAGAAACTGAAACAGAAACAAATTGAGGAAGAAGACATGTGTCCAATCTGTCAGGATGAGTTGCTGCAGAAACCAGAGCCATTAACTTATTGCAAGTGAGTGTCAAAGACAGGGAGCCTCTGATAAGGTACACTAGCAAACATCCCACATAAAGGAAAAGAAAATAAGCAAACAAACCTCTGTTGACTTGTTCTGTATGGCAATGTTTTCGTTTGATAAGTCTTGCCCTGAGACTGAACACAGTAACAAAAAGAGACAAGTTGATTGTTTCACATAGTTCTTCTTGGAAGTTTGAGTGTAAGCATCGATATCATGTTCTCAGTGCACCTTTTCTGGCTAGCATCCTAACATATCACATTTAACTGTGGTATGTTTAATTTAAATTTTCTTTTTTTCTTTTTTTCTTTTTTCAGGTATGGCTGTGGTAATAGCATTCATGTAAAATGCATGAAAATCTGGGCCGAACACCAACGTTCTACTGGAGAAACCATAATCAAGTGTCCTCTTTGCAGAGTTGACTTTGGGTCTTTTCAGGTTAGCTATTTAATATGGAAGATGTTTGTGACCTGCTCTTTTATTTCTGTCAGTAATTTACAACATCTTTTTGCTATTTTTACCATGTTGCTCCTTTTACCAAGACACTTAGCTTTTTATTTCTTAACTTGGCTATTAAAGCAGTAACATTTTTTTATAATTAATAGGAATTAATGGATGAGTTTCACAAATCTTCTCGACGTAAAACAAGAGCAGAGAGACAAGACCTTCACCTTGGTGCAACTTGTAAGAGATGCAGAGTTTCTCCCATAGCTGGAAAATGCTACAGGTAACATAAGCCTGTTGCATCTATGAGGTGGCTAACTTTCTGGCTAACAGCTCTGACAGAAGGCTAACATTTGAAATGTCAGCTTTGGAAACTCTCCACAGAGGCCACCTTACATTATCAACTCAGTTGATAAAACCAAATTATAGTATTGGACATTATATACTGTGATTGGTTGATTCTTAATCACATGCCTTGATCAAATTCAAATGTATCCTGACCAGGATACAATTGTGCAGTTGTTGCCCAAGCACTGAATACAACAGCATGTTTTTGTCATATGGTTGTTTAAGGGAAAGTCTAAATATATAACAAAGCACTTAATGTAGGGTCCTGAGAGAAACTGGTTAGTTTTGTTTTCCCTCAAGTCCTGATGTTTTCCTCAACTTTGTCTCGGGAATCATCAGAACTTGGGAAAACAAAACGAACTGTTTTCCAAGGGACCATACCTTAAGTGTATATTGTGATATTCCATCACCAATGGAGCACCAACTAATGCCTTTTATTGTTTCATGGCTGTCAGTTTTATTTACAGTTAATTTTAATTTATACAACTTGGTGGCTTACTAATGTGTGAAATTTCTGACTTGTTTATAGGTGTGTTGTTTGTGCTGATTATCATCTGTGTCACTCTTGTTTTGCCACAGACACACATTTACAGCATTCTTTCCAGTTCAGACAGGTGTGTAAGAATTATCCTCTCACACAAAATCAGACTTCAATTTCAGTGGTGACAACTGATTTGTTCCATAGAAATTCTACATCAATTGATAGTGTCTTATTCTAATTATTATTTGCATCACATGGAATTAAAGATCAGTGTTAAAAATTTTATTCCTATTGCATGAGAAACCCAGTGAACGATGGAGAGCAGCTTCACGGATAACTCCATTGCCAAGTGCAGTTATCACTGAACTGGAAAACCGAGATATTTCTGACAGTGATTATGAATTGCTGTTGCAACTTGACAGGTAGAACAACAAAACAATTAAACAGTTGATCAATTTGATACATGTATTGAATAAAAGTGTTAAAAAAAATTGCAGTGTTAAAACCATGCTTGTTACATGTTTGGTCCTCACATTCATAGGCAGGTTACTGATCAGGATGGTATCCCTGCTAACGTGATCCACAGTTTACCAACCCAAGTGTTACAAGATGGACACAGGCTGTTGGGTGACAGAAGCAACTGTGGTGTCTGCTTACAGAGATTCCAGGTCCACCAGCACATCAGAACTCTTCCTTGTCGTCATCCTTTTCACATCACCTGTATCAACACTTGGCTCTCAAACCATTCACAATGCCCTGTGGATGGCTCTTATGTTGGATCTGTTACCACCACGGCATCCAGGCAGTCAAACAGACAAATGATGTCAGGAGTGAGACAATTTGCATCTGGATCAAGTGGCAGTCATGTTTTAGGGGGGGCTGGAAAAAGACCTGGCCAAAGATTGAAAGGACTTAATGATAGTAGTACCTCAGAGGCAAGTTTACCAAGCAGTTTTACTCTGAGCGGATCTCGATTGATGGTAGCGCAAAATGATAAGGCTCGGTAAGAATGGAAAAGATCAGTTTTCAGATCTTGAAATAAAGTACTTAAAAGAGATTTGACTACCACCCCAAAGGTTTCTTGCTGTTATTTTTTCCCCAGAAACACATCAACTGAATTTAACATCTTTCACTAAGGTCAAGATTGCTTACTTTACTTACAAAGTTTCATTCAAAGATTGCTATTGAGTATGGCCCTTCAAACTTTAATAATATTTATCAAAAGAGCAAAATCTATACATGAGTATAGAGCCTAAAAGAACAGGTTACACTTTCCTCTGAATATGGTCTGGAAACCTGATGTTCAGTGAATAAAACTCCAGTGACTTTTGTACATATTCCAATAGTTGAGCCTTCCCCGATTGAATCGTTTAAGTTACCAACTGAAGACAGATAACCTCCGTACAATAACAGTACTATATTAAGCAGACAAGTGATGCAAATAGAAAAAAATTGTCGATTAGGAAATTGATAGTTGATCCAAGACCAAATTCTCTAAACCAACATCATAAGAATTGTATGGCAAACATAAGGAGAATTACTAATGAGATTGTTAAATATTCGGCTATACAAATAGTGATACCACTGTTATCGATTTTCACGCAGGTCCAGTGGAGACTTTCAGATTCCCAGCTATGACCGTTTGTCATCGGTAGAGCCTCCACTAATGGATCACCCTCGCGTTACTCCCCACGTGGGTCTTTTTCGAGTATCTTCAGGGGGACGGGACAGGACAGGCTTTCGACACAGAGCTTCCCCAGAATCCCTTGCTGGAATTAAATCGTTCACACGGTACAACTTAAATTTCGATCCTGTGAATTCTTCTAAACCACCCTTGCCGCCTCAAACTTTGAACAATAATAGAAGTTCTAGCAGTGAAACAAGGAGGCCGAGAGCAAAACTGGACAGAACACAACGAAGCAATGTAAGTTGGTACTTGCAGTTGTAGAGTAATACGGCGTATTTCGATCAAGTTGTTAAAGCAAATCAGCTGAAATCCAAAGTGATCAACTGAACCAATGCAAAATTAGAGAAAAATCCAAAGAGCTCATGAAAGCTCAGAGTGAAAAGAGGTAATTCGCCTGAGTGGTTGAGAAGTGGGGACGAGTTTTCCAGACCAATCACAAAGCGAAGGAGCAAACGTGAGGCAATGTGTGACGTAAAGATGATGTCATACTTTATAGGCGCTAGGTTTTCTTCTTTCCTTCTATCTTAAGAGACCTTCAGAGGCTAGATATTTCAAAGTGAAAACAGAACTGGTGTGCAAAACTCAAAGTCTGTAAATAGCGACTTCGTGTTGTGCATCTTACTTATTCCGTATCATTACTTTGCAGTCGGTTGGAGAACTTAGTTTGTTCGCATCAGGTACCGCTGTGTCTCTAGGATCGCAGACTCCGCTAGTAGACACAGACAAGAAACTGAAAGGTCAGCTTATGAAAGGAAAGCTAACAACCAAGAATTCCCGGCAGTCTCTGTCAGACCCAGGCTTAGCCGTGACATTGGAGCCTATTGTTGGCTCTGGAATCTCAGTTTACCTCCCTCCTATTGATATAGATTAACTCAAACGCAATTTGTAATGAATGATAAAAAGTGTGAAAAGGGAAGAAAATTTTCAAGACGACATCCAGGGTCAATTGTGGGTGCGAGAATGAATTATCTCGAATACCGTTAGTCATCAAATTTGTGTCAGACCAATGGAAACCCTCTTGTTACAAGACAACCATCCTTTACAAAAAGAACGTGAAACAATTTTCTATCGCAAATAGTTATTTACCTGTTCGCTTTATTGGAGATAAGAAACCCAACAGGTGCAGCTATTTATTTCATGTCTTCTTCCTCCATCCCCACCCCTCCCCCCTCCCTACAACCCCTCAATTATTTTTGGCGTAAGTTGTTTAAAAAAAAACAAACAAACAAAGAGATAACCTCTCTTCAGCCATCTTTTTATCTCCTTCATTCCTGGAAATAACTTAACCTCTCCCGACTGGATTCAAACCATGGGATAAACAGTAAAACCTATCAGAAATAACAACGTTGCTTATAGCATGATGAGCAAAGTACGCATCATTTGATTGGTCAATTCAGTTTCCAAGGATGCTTTATCAGGTTATAAAGCTTGCGTGTAATTGGTTATTAAAAGCAATAGAACACGTTTTTTGCGGGCTCTACAACGTGATAAAGCCACTTGGGTTGTTGGGAGAACACGAAGAAAGCTTATAAATCACGAGTCTTCGGCAATTTTTCGTATTGTCGGTCAAACAAAATTCAATACGGTAACTACTCATCTTGCCAACGAGTGGTTTCGCTGGTTAAAATGACAAATTCGCTATCGTCGTAGGTCGGCGCGTCAAAGCGCTAAGTCCTTTTATAAACGACCGAATCAGTTACAAGTTACTCGCAAAGATTCGTATGTTCTATAATCTTGACAATCACAAAAGTGCAGCACAGTTTGATATTATTCCTCGCGTAGGTTAAAAATATACTCTTAATCGGCCGCTTAGTGCTACGATTTCAGAGATCAGTTTTTCATCTATGTAGGGATTTTTTCTTGTATTTTTGTTTGGGTAAAGAACACCTTACATAACTTCTGTTAACCGTATTGGTCACAATACAGGTAAAGAGGGTGTAAATGTAAGGTATGGTTTGAATATCTCAATATCATCAGTTTAACTTTCTTTGAAGTAATACGCCCACGATACGCCCACAAGGCGCCCAATCATATCTTACCAGATATTAGACAAGCCTCCAGACTTGTTGTGGCGAATTGTGCTTCTATCTACGGCGATCTGAATGGATTTAAGTTGCAACAAGAATTAGCAGGCTTTCATATTTATTGCCCCGTCTAGAATTTCTCCTAGAGGCGAGGTAGGTGGAGTTATTCTAAGTTTGCAGGATAGCTTTTTTGCCAGTAGTGCTGGCGGGAGAGTGTCTTCGACGACTGCAGAGTTCATCTGTGACGCAGTTTAACTAACTTAGATTTGGTGTCTGTGGAGATAACCTTAATTATAGAGGTGGAAACAATTATAATAAAATAGTACTCTGCCATCGAAATGAAATTTGTTTCGATATACTGCCATGTGCGGAATACTCTCGATTTCGAAAAAAAATTTTCTTCCATGGTGAATATTAGTGATTCATAAAACTACGAATATTTGAATCTGTTGTTGGTTAGGAAATTGTTTATGCTTTTCAATTCATGCGAAGCACGCTTTTATCTCATCGATGAAGCATAAAGACATCTCTTTGGCAGTGATTTAACTTATTTACTCGACTGCCAAGCCGAGTCAGTTTACTAAATTTTATCTCAGGAATTAAAGGGACATTTCATTTGTCATATACACTAGCATTTGCAATCGAAACCCATTCCAGTGTGCATGAAATCAGTCAATCAGTGGTCACATGACTGACAAACACTGTTTCGCATTCGATTTTGTGTCAAGGTCGCGAAGGTGTGTCGCAGATGTGTCGCCTCGATTCAAAAATTTCGCCTCGTGTTGGTCAACTGCTTCAAAGATAAGCGCCTTACTAGTATCGGTAAGTAGACTCCAGTCATTCTTTTCTCGTGATATTGTCTAAGTAATGCCTTGTGGTTTTGGCAAAAAAATGCGATAAAACGTCCCAAAAATGCTTAAACGTTCGAACTCTGTGTTATATGGATTCGTTGAAAGTGCTAACAGCGGGATTTTACACAGAATCTTTCTCTCAACTTTCTTTCCTTAGAGCAAATTTCACCTTATCGTTCTATTACAAGAAAATCTGTCATTGGAGTAATGTAAAACTTTGAGGTCTCGAGTGGTTTGAGAATATTTACTGGTATATACTGTTGACTTGAAAGAGGCTTTTTAACAATCAGTCACTCTTTAGAATCATTACTCTGAATCTGTCTAAGAAATGTGTACGTTGCTAAGACACTGTTTTGGTTCTTCAATTACCAATCTCTATTAATGATATTTGCACTTTCGCATTTAGCTTAAAAAGTTTAAAAACTTTTCTTACTTCGCTTGGTTAAATGCCGGTGTGCAATCATCGTCGGGAATTGCGCAGCTGCTGCGACTAAGAATCAGACTATTCTAGTATGATATTAATATAATAAGTTGTTTATTTTTAAGAATGTCGTCTAAAATTGACTGTTTATTTTAATTTCAACAAGATAAACGTATCAATATTGGCTTTCAGAGTTTTTCTGTGCACATTCCCGAGTTTATATTGTTTAAATTTTTGGCAATATTATTAAAGAAAAAAAAAGTTAAATGTTATCTCCTTTAGATCTCGTTAACGTGCATTTTGGCGATCTGCCGTTAAAAAAATTTGACATTCTTATGAAAATCTTCTGTAATATTGAAACAGTAACAAAGGAGAGGTTTTTGGTAAACCAAAAATACATTCGTGAGGTTTTCGGCGACTTCAAACAGATATAGAGACAGATCAAGCTTTTCTGAAGAGAACAGCTGATTCAGAACAATAGAATACTTCACAAAAGATGATAGTTACAAGTGTACGACTATCTTTAGGCTAAATAGCAGCCGCTAGAGGGAACATGGGGCCACTTCTCCTCGATGTCCCAGCGAAATTTTAAGAGGCAAAGCCATTTCGAAACATTTTCCCAGTCGTTTTGTCTGACAGGAGGTGAAGTGGCCTTTTCACGAACATTTTTCGTGTATCTAGGCTTGTTTTATATTGGGTGAAAAATGGTCAAGGCAACTCATTGTATAAAATAAATTTGTAGCAATTTAGATCACAATGTAAAATGTCAACAGGTCTGCTGTGGTAGGCTTTGGTACTGGCGCCGTTTTATTTAGAAATCCTTTATATTTGTAACAAAAGTTAAAAAAATAAACGGGTAGATAAATGAGTAAATTATTTGAGCTGTTACGCTCGAACCAGATAAAAATACTACTGTTAGTCGATTGGCAGTGTGTCTTGCATGGTATAATCACCCCTTTTACGACAAAAAAAATAAAAAACTTTTTGTTGTCTTGCAACTCTTAGAAAAATTATCAAACTGAAATTACATCTTAAAAGCAAAAGCCTTTTCACAATATCTGCCTTACATGATTCCAGTTATGTGTACACGTGCTCTTGTGTAAGAAAGAAAATGGATTTCTGACATATACATATATATATTTTTTGTCACAGCGCAGCGCCCTTAATATTTTCGTTGATTGGGTCATGGTTTTTTAAAGGGGGTAAAGTTTCTAAAGAAAGTGTGGTGCAGTGTGGGGCAGAGCGAAAGACAAAAGGCTAACACTCGAAACGTCAGCTTTTTAACTCTTTACGGTGGCCAATTTACAATTTCAACTTAGTGGATAAAACCAAATCATCATGTTTTTTAGTCGAATTTAGCAGTCGAGGAGATCTGGCGTCAAAAACAACCAAATCTGGCTCGTCTTACCGACTTCAAAGGCTTCCATCTTTTAATGAACACAAAAACCTGACAACGGCAAATGGGAAAATTTTTTTTCTGTGCGTGGTCTTATCCATGTAATACTACATACAAACGCTGACTTTCAAATATCAGTAACGTTAACATCAGTTTGTCTACTTACTCTCGAAAGATTAGAGTAATAATAATAACTTTATTTATATAGCGCTCATATCCTGAGCTCATGGCGCGTAGAACAGAAAAGGAAAAAAGAGAGGATTAAATTTCACTGATTGACCAGTGGTTCCCGGAATTAGGTCGCCTCTCTTTCTCTTTATCATTGTACTCATTATCAAAAACCAAATAAAAGAAGGGCGAATGAAAGTAAAAATATATCGTAGGCGATTCGTCAAATTTTAGCTCTCTTGCATTTCCTCGAGTTTCAGTCTTGTGCAATTGAAGAACTGCTTGTTACGGCGATGAATCTTCTCAATTAGCTTTATTTTCCTTCTTTGAAGTAAAGTGTTTCACTTTCATGATTAACTTAAAAACGAAAAACATTCCACCGTACATTTCGTGTCTGTTAATACTTCTTACAATAAACTCGCGCCACTGAAGCTCAATTTCCAAAATAAGAATTCCGTAATGACTTTTGAGAAAATAATCACAAATCTAGAAGAAGAGGCTGCTGCTACATAAGTTTTACGAAGTTTCCCAGTGAAACATTTCTTCAGCAGGTTGCTTTGAAACACGGAAATGGTGCGTGTATTTAATTTAACAACAACTTCTGCTGAAAAAAAAATTCACACGTGTAATACCACCTACAGCGAAACGGCTTTCTAAATCAGAACGCATTTCGTTCCAATTAGCGGAAGTGAGGCTCTTCAAAATGACACTAAATATTCGCTTTATACCGAAGGTATAAGTCGGCAAAAAATAGTTTCAAAGAGGGAAGCCTTGCATGTAAACCACACGGAATTTAATGCATTTTATTCCGTTGAACAAGGTGACTATTTAAAGACCCTTGACTACAAAATATGTTTTGTTTATTTTCTTTTAATGACGTACTGAAGCTTTTACTTCACCAATCAAGCCTTTTTTTTTTTTGTTGAGAAATTTAATAACCGTGACTTAATCTTACGTAGACTTCGTGATTACCCGCAGAATCATCACGAACAACAAGAATTTTGACTCATTTGATTACGGATTAATTAACAAGTTTAGATTTCCAAGAACTGTTTAACCCAAGTGGTGTTTTAAGTTAAGTTTTATACTCCATAACATTAATTCTATCTACCAGTTTCAAACTCCTCCCTAGGAATATTGTATCTGATGCTGATAGTGACTCACGTTATACCTAAGTACGGCTAAACTGCAACTTGAATCTGATCGGTCAAAAGCTCTGCAATCACTCAAGTAAATCGAGATGTTAATTTCTTCTCAATTTCTCTGGGCTAAACAGAATGGAATACTTCACACGCTAATTTCAGGTAAAATATAGCCTCTAAATCGGATTATATTTTTATCACCACTGAAGAGGCTTCCGTGTTGTTAACAGGTATTAAGTGTTTGAGGTAAGTACGTGAGCAAATCACACGAACACGAAAAACCTGTCCAGTGTACACGAAGAAAAAGCTCCATTCATACAATGTTTGTAACTCGGGCGTGCATAATAATTGCAAATTCATTAATTTGCGGATCACTGTGCATGAAGATGGGTTACGTTGCGGGCTTATGACTTAGCATGTTTCGTGAGGAAAATTAAAACAACCATTTTGGTAACAACGGGGAGAAACTTTTTAGTATTGTGCCTTGCAGGCATGTGCGCCGAAAGTGCTGCATTCCATTAGACAAATTATACACTTTGCTGTGCACAAGTCTTTAGAAAAGTTTTAGGCTTTGTTAAATTCTTTGCAATGATCGTGAATCCGACAAGTAAATACTCGCTTTGTACGCCGTGAACCCTAGGGCCAAGGGCAACTTCTGCAAACTAATTGCACTCCCGATGTCTTAGAAATTTAATTCCGTATTGTTCGTCACGAGCGGCTGTTTATAGGCCTCGTGGTTCTGCACCGGTGATTTTTGGAGTGAATTTATTACGGTAATAAGGCTCTGAGCTTCAACGCAAATTCTGAATTAATTTCAGACACTCGCTGAGTGAAGTGTACGCTAGCACTACGTATTCTCTGAGGATGGCTGCTACGCTTAGTTACTGCGAGCTGTTGTTATTTCTGGTGGCGATGACGTGCTCTCGACCTCCAACTTTAAGGTAAATTCTTCGTTTTGTAGTTACGAAACTTTATGTCAGTGTATTACTTACTGCGTGGCTCAAGGAAATTTGCGCTTTTACGCTATAATTACAGTGTACGGAACATAGAAAGAACAAAATAGTCCTGTTCGACACAAAACTGATTGGCGTCGCTGTTTTTACCAAGTTTAACCGCCATATTTCTTTCTGCAGCTTGGGCCAAGAGACGAACTCCACGGTAAACGAGAAAGAAATTTCCCGCTGCAAGAGCGTAACATGTTGTGTAAGTTGTAAAAACATTTGTTAGTCTCTTTCATTCAAACCTAGCGGGACTGCTTAAAATTCAGCTTTGTAAACAAAGAAGTATTATTTTCCAAAAGTCGTACGCACAAGTTGAGTCGCAAAAGAAGAAAAAACATCTTAGAGTTGGTTCTCGCTTCTTAGAGAATATGCCATGATACGTTTATGCTCTCTCTTTAGTTGGCTGTGAAACAACCCACTTTTACTCAATAGCATGCATCTAATACAGAATAACACAAACCCTTGACCTCCTACTTATTTTCGTCTAAAACCGGATCACTGATGTTGAAAGGAAAAATTAATATTCTCACCGCGTTTTCATTTCGTAGTCAGTTTTTTGTCGGCGCTGTATTCAAAACTTGTAGCAAGTTTGGTTGGCCGCATTACCGAGTAAAGCACTGTTGTTCGAAATTGAAAGACGGGAAAGCTTTGTTGGTAGCTTCAAACAGCTGAAAGAATTGTAATTGCGGTAACTTTTCTAATGCAATATCACCTTGGTTAGTGACGAACGAAGAAATGGCGAATCTTTTTCTAAACAGTATCGCAGAAAGTAAATATTCACTCTAGTTTGTGAAATTTCGAGGTGGCTTACTGTCAAGCAACTTTTATTTGGGGAAATACT